CCTCCCTCATCTGCTCAAAGAGCAATCAGGGTTCCCTGACCTGTGGGAAGCCCAAGGACCACCCACCTCTATCCAGGTCTAGTAAGGTGAGCACCCAAACTACCTAGGCTCCCACAAAGCCAGTACAAGCCAAGAACAATCGCAGTGGGTTTTTGATCCTACTGTACTTTTATTTTTTATTTCATTCATAAACATGTTTTATTTTGTTCAAATTCAACCCTCTTTCTCCCTCTAATTTCTCTCTGATCCTTCGCACTGCATCCTCTTCCCAACTTTATGTCTTTTATGTAATCTACTGAGTCCAAATAGTGTTGCCGGCATGCATGTGGGTATTGTGCTGGCTACTGTACTGAGCAAAATTTTCTTTTTTGAGAGAGGACCCAGAACTTCCTACATAGCCTAGGTTGGCCAGGAACTCTAGAGTCTTCTTACTCTGCCTCCCAAATGCTGGGAATATAGGCATGCGCCACCATACTGGGAAACATTTTTGTTCACATATTTTGAGATGATTTTATTGAATACATATTTATATTTTTCTAGTAATTCAACGAATTTTTCTTTGAGATTCTGATGTATTTACAAGCATTTGCTAGAACAGCATAGAGGAATCTCACTTTTCACATAGTTTTTTCTCAATGTTTAAGGTGTGCAGAACTATTGTACAATATCAAAATTAAGAAACTGACATTAGTATAAAATCTGTATATAACAATGTCATTTTGTCATGCCTCTGCAGTCAGGATACCTATATATCAGGATACCTATATATCATCCACCATTCCACAGATCTTCTTTATGATGCCCCTTGTAGCTTCGTATCTTCTCACTCCATCATCGTTGATCCTTGGCACCCATTACCCAATCTCCATCTCTCCCTATTTTGAAAATTTAAGAATTTTTTTGAGGTGGGTCTCACATTTTCTCTGACTGTCCTGGAACTCACTATGTAGAACAAGTTGACCTCAAACTCACCAAGATCTGCCTGTCCCTGCCTCCCAAGTGTTGAGATTAAAGACATGTACCATCATGCCAGGCCAAGAATAATTTTAAAGTGGAAACATAACATATGACTTTAATTTTTTTATGTTCCTGAAGAGATGCTGCAGAGGTTAAGATGCTCTTCCAGAAGTCCTGAGTTCAGTTCTCAGCACCCACACGGCAGCTCACAACTGTCTGTTAACTCCAGTTCCAGAGGATCTAACATTCTTTTTTGGTTTACCTGGGTACTAAGCACTCATACAGTATACTGACATACATATAGACAAAACACTCATACACATACAAAAATTGAAAACATTTTAAATTACATATATTTAGTGTGTGTGGTGGTGATGGTGGTGGTTGCGGTGGAGGTGGTGGTGTATGTCTGTCTATCTGTCTGTATGTCTGTATGTATGTACATGTGTTCTCTTGCCAAAGTGTTCATGTGGAGGTTAGATAGCAATCACCTTGATGGAGTTGTTTGTCTCCTCCCACAATGTGGGTCTTGGGGATTGAACTCAGGTCCTTTGGCTCGATGGCAAGCTTCTTTACCCACCGAGATATCTAACAGGCCCAATATACACTGTTTGATATGTTCCTTAGTACAATGCCCCAGAGATTCATTCAAGTTGTTTGTACTCATAGTACATTTCTTTCCACTGACAAATAGTATACCATGGTGTCAATGCAAAGCAGTTTGCTTGATCATTCACCCTTTCTATTATAATAAAATTTTCTCTCTTAAAGTCTTTTTTAGAATTGCTAACTCTGTGTGCTGATTTTTACTTGGTGCTTGTATAGTTTAACTTTTTGTGTCTTTTGGTTCTGAAGTTTCTCTTTGCTTATTCATCAGCATGCAGTTGGATTTTCAAATTTGGATGGGATTTTTTAACTAATGGATGCAGTCTATTTTCACGCGTTGTGGTTACTAATCCATTTGAATTGTGCTTTGTCCTTCCATTTCAAAAGCTCCACATTCATCGCTCATTTTCTTTTGGATTTATTTATACTAATACTTGTGAGCGTTTGGCGCCTGAGCTGGCTTTTGGGAACCTATTCTTCCTGCTAGGATGCCTTGCCCAGCCTTGATGCAAGGGGAGGAGCTTAATCCTGCCTCAACTTGTTATGCCATGTTTTGTTGACTCCCATGGGACAGCTGGCCCTTTCTGAACAGAGATGGAGGAGTGGGTGGGAGGGTAGATGGAAGGTTAGGGAGGGAGCTGAAGGAAAGGAGGGAGGGGAGACTGTGGTTGGTATGTAAAATAAATGAAAAAAAAAATGAAAAAATAATAGTTTGGGGTCTCAATGATTTGCACTAACTGATCTTATATTAAAAATAAAGCTCATTCAAAATCTGTAATTCTCTTGGTTTATTACTTTAGATTTTATTTTATTTTTAACTCTGTGTATATATGTATGTCTCCATGTGGGCCTGTGAATGTGGTGCAGGTGCCCGGAGGCCAGGACCTGGAGTGGCCTAATGTGGGTACTGGGAACCAAGCTGCGAACCTTCACTGCCGAGACATTCTCCAGGCCCCTCTACCTTTTTCTTTTATTTCTGTGTCTTAACCTCAGACCCGAGGTATTTTAAAATTTCAAAATTCGAGTTTCATATGAGGCAATTTTCTATTTTCCTCCTCATCAGGACACTGTGGGAACTAATTTTCTTAAAAGCCCAAAGAGGCTCAGGCTTTTCCAGATCACTTATTTCAGCTACAGGATTCTTAGTCTAACTAAAGAGATTAGGCAAGGTGGTAAGTTCAACCTATATTACAATTCAGTAATAAAGAAGTTTAATTTGGAAGCCTGTGCCCTCAGAGGTATTCTGAGGGCTCTAAGTGGAAGGGGTCCTTATACTAAGTTTCTTTATCTTTTCTGTTGAATCCCCCTATTCACGCCTGCTGACTGTTTTCACTAGTTCTCAGTATTCTTAGAAAAAAAATATCTGACCCCACCCAACTCGTATGGAATGTTTCAGTGGTCGTGTTTTAGGGATAATAAAATAACACACAGCTGATGCCCAATTTCTAGTGAGTACTGCTGTTATTTTGCTAAATTGAATATTTTAAAAAATGCTGTTTCAAGCTGTAGACATCTCTACTTTCTGCTCTTGATTTTTCACACGGGACATGATTTAAGACATTCAAATCTAGATTTTAGGAAACATAATATCTATTATAAGATTTTTTTGCTCATTTATAAGTCAAGATACATACATTTTGTACAGAATAGGTTCCATTTAAGGGGATAAAAGTTTCCAGTGTCAATCTGAGCAAAGGGAGATGACTGAATTACCTTGGCAACTGGGATTAAGCTAGCAGCTTCTAGTGTGCCCATCTGCAGTGTATGAGCTCAAATACACACTCTAATTCATGCAGAAAAAGATATGACTATGAGCCCAGCCTTGATTCAGTGGAAGGAGCTTGGTCCTACCTCAACTTGATTGTTCCGTGTTTTGTGCTACCCCATGGGAGTCCTGCCCCTTTCTGCATGGAGATGGAGGAGGACTAGGAGAGGGAGAAATAGGAGGTGGGGGAGGAAGGTAATGAAAGAAGATGAGGGGAGGGAAAATGTGGTTGCTATGCAAAATAAATGAAAAAATGTTAATAAATAAATAATGAATACTTACTTTTAAAAAAGGCATGACTAGGTCAGGACTGACATCTTTTCAGGCTTTCCTTATTAAGGAGTCAGAAAACCATGAGTCTGTTCTCATCACAGCAAATCTATTACTTACTGCATGACATGGGTGTAATAGCAGTAAAACTGGGTAAGAGCAATTCTAGGCTCCAAAGCCTTCATTCAGCTCTGCCCTAGAAGGAGGAAAACTAAGGAGTAGGGGTGAGGATATAAGAAAAACCTCACCTCAGCCCCCTCTCCAAAGGAGGGCTGAGCTGACCTCTAGCTTTGAGAAAGCTACCAGGGGTCAGCACCAAACGTCATTCTATTGCTGATTTTTTTCCCATCTTAAAGGAGAATTCATTTGGTCACTATGTGGGCCCTCACAGTTGTCTAAGGGAGCCCTTCCCTGTCAGAACTTGTCAGGTGGCAGGTCTTGGGTGTGTGTGTGTGTGTGTGTGTGTGTGTGTGTGTGCGCGCAAGCATGTACTTGTGTACACGTGTCTTATTACCACTCCACTTCCTCATTCTTCATTTCAGGCTTGGTTTATTAAAACTTTCAAACAATTGCTCTCATGTAATCCCTACCCCTAGGCCCATGCCAGCTTCACCCATCATGCACATTGCCCCTAGATTACTTTTCATTTTTACGTGTGTGTTCATGTGTGTGCACATATGTGTAGAGACCAGAGGACAAACTGAGGTGTCATGATCAGGAATTCCATTCCGCCTTTGATACAGGGTCTCTGGAGCTCATCAATTAGGCTACTAGACTGGCTGGCCAGTGAACCACAGGGATCCTCCTGTCTCTTCACCCCCAGGGCCAAGATTACAAGTGGGCATTATCACACCAAGCATTTTTAAGTGGGTACTGGGAATCAAACTCAAATCCTCATACTTGTGAGGCCAAGACTTTACAAACTGAGCTATCTCCCAGCCTTGTGTTTCCTTTATATACATATATTTTTAAATGTCCTGTTACTCCTTGAATGACAGGATATTTTGGTACACAAACTAGTGGTTTAAGACCTTAAAAATAAAACAAAACAAGCAAACAAAATAACTTCTTCACCCTAAGTTCTCATCTTTCTCTTTTCTCACTCTTCTTCCACAGCTTCTATTTTTCTGTTTCAGGGAGATTACCTTCCTCCCTCTCATAGGAACAGAATTCTCACCCCATGCCTTTCTTCAGACCACTTCTCCCTTCCAGGACACTCTCCTATTCTGTCTTTCAGGCTCAGTTTAAGTGTATCCTTCATTGAAGTTCTGCTTCATCCTCCCAGATAGCAAGTATCCGACACTGAGTAAATGCCCACATACTATTAGCAGTCCATCTGTATTCATGTCCCTTACCTCTGCAGCTAGACTTTTAATTCTAGCATGAGAACAAGTTCTTCCGATTTGCAACACACAACTTTATTGATGATACACATATGAAGTCTTTGGTGACAAAATTCAAGTCAAAACAAGTAAGGGCAGAATAGGCCATTCACGAACAGGTTCATTATCAACTCACATAGAGGACTTGGGAAAAAGATTCCACTCAAGCAGCACAATTCAAATCACAAATGTGTCTTCAGTACTATAGGACTACAGGACTATTTGGTATTCAGAAAATGGTTCCGCTTAAAGCTGGTGACTGCCACAAACAACATCACTCTGAATGACACATTATTCTAAGCTGGCAGCTGAAAGAACTCCTTTACTATACACACAAGGAGGAAAGCAATAACATCTCATTTTTAATGCTTCCAGACTGAAAAACTGAGACATCACAGATCTTGAGGGCACAAATCAGAATTTGTTTACCAGTTTGATGACTTTCACTTTCACCAAGAGGTCGTGGTGATTCGCCAAGGCTCGGATTTTCTTAACACACACCCCAGATGTAGTACACAAATAAAACAGGGAACCCTTGTTGAATTCTCTGTAGTTGAACACTTCCGCTCTGAGGTTGTCAAAGATAATCTCAAACAGAGTAAGAGCATTAATAAGAATTTCCGACTCCACGTAAGAATTATAAAGGGAACTAAAGGATGACGGCACCTGGGTACCGAGAAGTTTCTTGAGCATATCCGGATTTTCAGCAAAATTTGAAAGTATTTTCAAAATTTCGATCTTGATTTTTCCACCCCCCTGGGATAACAGACGGAAAAAGTTTGCGATGGAATTGACAAGCAGGTGCTGGTAATCATTAGTGATAGTCATGTTTGTTAAAAATTTTAGCCCAACGACCTGTACTGCCGAGTTCAGGTTAGAGGCCATGATGTCATCCATCACTTTGTTCATGTACACCTGCAGTCGGCCCTGGTTTTCGTAATTTTCACTCAGGTTATTCATGGCCATTAAGGCTTTTTCCTTAATATGGGGGTCAGTTTTGTTGATCATGTTTGCAATAATTGGGAGGCCTCCCAACTTTCGAATTGTTTCTTGATTACATGAATAATTGGCATTGTTGCTCAGGGTGAGCAGGGCTACTTGCTGGATGAAAGGATCATCTGATTTTTGAAGCAAGGCTAGGACTTTCCTGAGATCTCGGACACCCAGAATCTCATCAATTTCATATGGAAAGGGGCGCTTATGCATGGGAATGGTTCTCTTCCCCTTCCCTCTTTGCTGAATCTCAGGTTCAGAGTCAGAATCTGACTCTGTATCAGTCCACCCAGACTCCCCCTCCTCAGATTCAGGAATCTCTGCTAGGAAAGCCTGTCCGCCATTAGCAGAAGCTGCAGCAGCTGCAGCAGCCCCGTCACCAGGGCGGAAGCCCATCCCCAATTCATCCACTTCAACCTTGTTTTTTCTATTTTTGCCCTTGCCTCCATTCCGGTTCCTGTTTCCACCTTTGGGCACAGCGCCAGCGGCTGACCCAGACTTAGGTATAGCTCCAGTGTGAGCTCCAGCTTTCTTGCTAGTGGCTGCTGTCTTAGAGGACCCTGAATGCCCAGGAGTCTGGGCAGCCCCAGAAAGCATTGGCAGAGAGGCCCCAGCCACCATGGCAGGTGTTGCCATTCTAGGAGCCTCTGTGGCTTCAGTAGGTGCTGCCACCCTAGGGACCTGCATGACGTCTGTGGTTGTTGCCCTCTGGGTAGATGTTGGTGCCCTAGCAAATGCTGCCGCCGCCATTGGAGTTGTTGGCCCCATGGGAGACACTGCTGTCCCAGAAGGGACTCCTGTCATGGCAGGCAGTACTGCTCCAGAAGGGACTCCTGTCATGGCAGGCAGTACTGCTCCAGAAGGGACTCCTGTCATGGCAGGCACTACTGCTCCAGAAGGGACTCCTGTCATGGCAGGCACTGCTGCCCCAGAAGGGACTCCTGTCATGGCAGGCACTACTGCCCCAGAAGGGACTCCTGTCATGGCAGGCATTACTGCCCCAGAAGGGACTCCTGTCATGGCAGGCATTGCTGCCCCAGAAGGGACTCCTGTCATGGCAGGCATTGCTGCCCCAGAAGGGACTCCTGTAATGGCAGGCACTGCTGCCCCAGAATACTGAACTGCTCTGGGAGGCACTACTACCCCAGGAGACTGGGCTATCATCCCAGGATGCACTGTTGCCCCAGAAGACTGGACTGCTCTGGGAGGCACTGTTGTCACAGGAGACTGGACTGCCCTAGAAAGCATTGCTGCCCCAAGAGACGGGGGTGGAAGGGGAGGCACCACTGTCCCAGGAGACTGGGTTACCCTGGCAGTTGCTGGCCCAGTAAAGTGGGCTGCCACGGGAATGTAGACTGCCCCGGGGGGAGCTACGACTGTCCAGGAAGGTGCTGCTTGCACAAGAGATTGCAGTGCCATGGTTGGTGGTGCTGGCCCAGTAGACTGGGCTACCCCAGGAGGTGCTACAGCCCAGGGAAGTGCTGTTGGCACAGAAGGTGCTATTGATGGGGAAGGTACTAATGGCCCAGGAGACTGGGCTACCCCAGGAAGTACTGCTGGCCCAGGGAGTGCTGTTATCCCAGTAGCCTCCATGGTACCGGGAGCTTCTGCCACTTTGGGAGTCACTACTATTTGTGGGGCCTCCGCAGCTGTGGGAACCTCTGCCACCTTGGGTGGGGGTGTAACTGCACTGGCAGCTGAAGTCGCGACTACTGGTTTGGGAGTAGGCTCAGTCCCAGCCCCCTTGGCCTCCTGGGCCTTACTTTCTGCCCCATTCTGAACCTTAGGGCTGGGTGCAGCTGGCACCATTTTTTCAGCTGCAGTTGTGGCAAGAGTGGATGTTTTCCCTTGGGCCTTATTCATTGTCTCAACAGTGACAGAGGCTGGGGGATTGAACCCTGGCCCAAGGTCAATTGTGAATCCTGCTTTTAGTCCACCTTTAGCCCTGGCTCCAGTACCCACCGAAGCCCGGTTCTTGGATTTGGCTGGTCTCTTCTTCTTCTGGTCTTTTCCTCTAGTGTATTTGTAGACACAGTACCAGGCGCTAGCCCCGATCACTATTCCAGCAGCTACGCAGCCAGCATCCCGAGTACGGCTCATGATACACGTGCAACAATTCTCTGATCCAGATTGCTTAAGTGGAACGAACGTATGCACCAGTCAAAACGAGGCTCTCAAACTTGGGTTTGAAAGGTCTTCTGAGGCAGCAAACTGAGCTGGACCTAGTAGGGGTAAACGTCAGAAGTGAGAAGCATTGTGGTTCCGTGCTCCCCTGTCCAACCTTCCTTTATCCCAATCCTCTGATGAGACGCAAAGGACAATGGCACGGGGTTTTGATCCTACGTAATGTGATGGCTTTGTGGGAGCCTAGCCAGTTTGGATGTTCACCTTCCTAGAAATGGACGGAGGGGGGAGGTCCTAGATCTTACCACAGGGTAGAAAACCCTGACTGCTCTTTGGACTGGAGAGGGAGGGGGAGAGGAGTGGGGGGAGGGGGAGAAGGGTGGGAGGAGGGGGCGTAGGGTGGGAGGAGGGGGAGGGAAATGGGAGGCTGGGAGGAGGTGGAAACTTGTTTTGTTTTCTCCTTTTCTCAATAAAAAAAAAGAGACAAAAAAAAATAATTTCACAGTTGGGGGTCTCCACAACATGGGGAATTGTAAAAGTCCACAGTATTAGGAAGTTTGAGAACCACTGGTCAAATATATTAAGTTCTTGAATCTTGGAGCATGTAGTCTGTATGGTTTCTTAACCTAGTGACTCACCAGAGATTGTTCATTTAGGAGGGTTTGGGTGATACTTTACCTTAAGGTCATAACTAATTGTAATTTTGTTATACCGCAGGAACTTTCTTACCCCCTAATAAACCAAATCCCTAAATGTAAAAAAAAAAAAGAAGTGAGAAGCACAGGGTTTGGGCTCACTTTGTGTCTAACCTTAGGGGAGCGCTTGGGGACACAGGTGTGGAAGCCTGCACTTGTTGATGCGATGATCAGCTCGAGTCTTATCTTACCTCTAGTTCACCTTCCCAGTGCCAGCATCTACCATTTAGTTGTCCCTAAGTGGGGAGGGCATGGAAATCTGGCAGAGTGTGAAATCTGAGATTCACCTGTGACACCTCCACCCCCATTCAAGAGCCCTCAGATAGTGCACATATACATACCAAGTTCCTGGGATCAGGAGCAATTCCCGCAGTGCTGGCAGCTGCAGAGCCTAAAGGTAGAGGGATCTGTGGGTAAATGACAGGTGGCTTTGAGCCTTTGGCAGAGAGACAATTGTTTCTCCCCTGATTTGCATTCTGATGGGCCAAAAAAACTCTCAGGACTCCTCCTTTTCTCCCCCAACGATTAATTTAAATTAGAAATCCCATATGCCCCGTTCCCTGCACCAGAAAGGACAGGCCAGAACAAAGGTGTCTTAAAGAAAGAAAACATGCAGGGGGAGGTGTGTTGGTGCTATGTTCTGGCCTCTGCCAAAGGGGATGCTCACCCCGAACACTGACCTGCAAGAATTCTGAGCTCTTTCTCCTTCCTTTAGTTCAGCCTGAGCTTCATGCTGAGGGCAGGCTGAAGGGCAGAAATAGAGACTGCAGGCGCAGACTAAGAACCTGGTGGACATATCAGCATCCAGAACAAGAGCCCCAGTGTTAGCCTTTTTCCATCTGCACACCACGATGACGAAGAATTCCACCTTTCAATTCCTTTAATTCTCCTTGCCTCTCTCACCATCCCCCCCATCCCCCCATCCTCGCCCCCCCCCCCCCGTTTGCGCAGGCTCCCCAGGCACTCAATGTCCCCTTCTATTTCGCCCCACCCCCTGGCCGCCATTTTTCTGAGACACTGCGCCACACCCCTTCTGCTGCATCGAAGCGGAGGGGGCGAGGTGAGAGTGCTGGCTAAGTTGCAGCATGGGGGATTCCTGCCAGATATTCTAGTGTTCTTCGCCTATGCTCAGCCATTCTTCAGCCCCCACCTTTCTGCAGAACAAGGGCCGCTAGGCCCACCTCCTCAGTTTCAGGGTCCTGATTTTCCGTGGTTTCTCTGCTCTGGGCCCCGCTTCCCTCCCCCACCCCAAATCCCCAGAAAACCGCCATTTCTATAGCCTGAATACCCGAATTCCTTTTTTTCAGGGCTGAAAAGACCAGGATGAAGGGCTCTGTGGGCCGCAGGTGTCTGGAAAGCAGCCTGGCAGTTAGCATGACGATTTAATACCAGTTAGCTTACGGTCCCCCAGCCTGTGAAGCCAAATCCGCCATATCTTCTACAGAAGCTGGCACACCCATTTCCTAGCACCCTAGAAGGATGGGGGGAGGGGAGGGGAGGGGAGGGAAGGGAGGGGAGGGGGCAAGGTTGTGGCAGCCAGGTAGTCTGAAAAGGGAAGATGGGAATGAAAAATACCGATTGGTTCCAAATTTCAAGCCCATCTGGCCACCCGATCCCCACCCACCTCCTTGCTGGGTTTGAATGAGCTGCCACGTTTATTTCTCTTGCCTGCCCTTCTCAAAACAGCACCGTAAGCAGGGAACCGAGCCTGAGCCTCTAAAACAAAACCGCAAAACTGCTGCGAGAGAAGTAAGCGTTTTCTTCCATAGAAGGGATAGTCCTTTCATTCTCCTACTCCCCTCTCGTCCGCTGCCCCGGAGATCCTAGGGTCTGGAAAACCGCGGCCAGCAGAGGATGCAGAAGCACCCGAGGCCTTGACATTCAGTAACCCTAGGCTATTTGCAACTCCCGGGTCCCGAGAATGTTCATTCTCACACCCACCTGTCCAGTTCTGAGGTAATTTTCTTCTCGCCTGGCAGTGTGCAGCGTTATGGCGTTGGTACCCGGAGGAAGATGGCAGAGATGGCCGTCAAGGCTTTAAGTACCTTTGCCCACGTCAGCTCTTGGTCACGTGAGGGACTCTTTGCCAGTAAGCTTAAGTCCCGGAATTCCACTCCCACCAAGATCAGGAGCTCCCTCCTTTATCCCCACTCCTGCCTTATCTCACCACATCAGGTCCTGTCAATCATTCATTGCCTTTGTAACATCAGGCTAAAAGCAGCCCCTTCTCCCTATTATGAATTTGCTCTCTCTAGTTACTGGGGAGGAGCTGCAGCTTCTGGGAGAATTGTTGACATTTTTCACTGCCCCCTCCCATTACTCCAAGCTTTCCCCTCCATTCCCCATCCTCCAGTCCCTGCCCAGTTCCCACTATTCCCCTTGTGGTTGAGTTTCTGCTCCTGTTTAGATAAGGGGTGAGTATCAGAGAGGAGACAAGGATTGGAGGTGAGATCTGTACTTCTGGAAGACTCCTTTGTTTAAAAAAACCATGACTACAGCTTTATTCTTACAGGAAGAAGATACAATAAGACAAGAACTAAGTGTGGGAAATAGTATCAAAACCTGGCAGAAACGTTTTGTTTAAAACCAGAATTTCTCTCACGTTAATTTTGACTAATTTTTATCACACAGAAAATGAATTCTAATGGCCAAGTGGGAAATAGGTTTCTTTTCTTTTCTTTCTTTCTTTCTTTCTTTCTTTCTTTCTTTCTTTCTTTCTTTCTTTCTTTCTTTCTTTCTTTCTTTCTTTCTTTTTTTTTTGGATTTTTCGAGACAGGGTTTCTGTAGCTTTTTGGTTCCTGTCCTGGAACTAGCTCTTGTAGACCAGGCTGGCCTCGAACTCACAGATATCCACCTGCCTCTGCCTCTTGAGTGCTGGGATTAAAGGCATGCGCCACCACCGCCCATCTGGGAAATAGGTTTCTAAGCGTGCTAGGCATCTGAGCATCTAAAATGTATTTTCTTGATGATATCAACATATTTCTATATCATCTGTAATTGATCTGTGAAGATGCATTCAGTTGCCCTGTCTTATTTATTTTTGATAACTAATATCCTACTTTTCTTCTGGTATAGCTTTTATGCTGAGTAAATAAATGATCTCCTCTTGTCCAGTTAGAGAAATACATTTATTTAACATTATCATGCTGTTGCTTTCTGCTGTGTGACTGTCCTGTAACCATGACAATTCCGAACACCTGTCCATGGGTTAGGTTCCTGCTCAGTGATTCATCTTTAGATGGAAAGAAGAGTTTCGGGGCTAAGAAAAGTAATCGTGTGAAGGATGCAGGATTGTAAACTCCTTCTTGCCCTGGTAAGAAGCATAGAAGCTGTTGTCCCAAGACCCCCTCCTACACTCCTGAGCCCTATATGTTATTCCCTGCACGCAGTCATCTGAGTCGGTTGCTTACTCCCAAAATATCCATGGACAGGTCATCAAAATGGTGACATGGGTGAGTGCCTTTAGCCACTTACCGTTCCTCTCTTAGGGGTAACTCAGCAATGCATGGAAGAGATTGCTCTCTTCCCATCTGCTTCTGGAGCTGAATATTTCAAGGAATACAAAATTGATTGTTGGGGAAAGCAGTTGTTAAATTGGCTTGATGTATATCCTTTCACACAGTGTCGTAGTGAATATTTTCTTTAATATTCCATGTACTACTACTACCTGATCTGAAAGTTACAGTCTGACGGACCTCTCCCCTCTGGCTCCCTTTACTTCAAGCAACCAGTAGGATCCTAGTTTTGCTGCAGAGTAACTGCCAGTCCTCATCTACTTTGGCGCTCCATTAGCCAAATATATGTCGAGACCCGAACTACAATGTCGAGTGGTCACACTGATTAACTTCGATTAGGTGTTGATTCTTAGCTGTGGTCCATCTGAGTTATATTCATCCTAAAGGTTTTGTTTTTGATTGTGTGTGGATCTAAAGTGATTTTAGGAGGTGGAATTAGAGGTTCTTGATCCTGACAGTTTTTCAAGGGGTCTGCAATCCATCTCTCTGATATTAAATGCTAATAGAATGGCCTAACAATAGTTTGTGTATTCGTTGAGATTTAAGAATCTCTTTTGTCAGCCGGATGATGGTGGCTCACACCTATAATCCCAGTACTCAGGAGGCAGAGGCAGAGGCAGGAGGATTTCTGAATTTGAGGCCAGCCTGGTCTACAGAGTGAGTTCCAGAACAGAAAGGGCTAGACAGAGAAAACCGTATCTTGAAAAACCAAAAATGAAAAAAAAAATTCTCTTTTGCCTAGTAATAGTATTACTAAGCATGTTTAAAGTCCTGATTTAACCTCCCAGCATGAAAGGAAAACTAAATCAAACAATAAGAAATACAGAAGATATATAGGAAGAAAGAATCTTGCAGCTTTGCTATTCCCAGCCACAGCTAACAATTTCTGTTTTTCTTTTAAAGCACATTTTAATAAGTACATTTATTCGTATTGATCAAGTTCAAATGAAGCAGAGATCATAACAGGAATAGGCATTGATCTCTGTATTATAATAGCAGTAGGTCTGCAGATTCACTTGTGGAACTTGGTTATTGTGAAATCAAGACTTCCTCCCTAGGAACATGCACGTGAGCGACTGTTCATTTTCACGTTACCTTTTCTCTTTCACACATGTCCAGCTATCTAATTTACATTATTTGCTAATTTCTCTAAATTATTAGTCATCTTCATGGTAAAAACACCACTTCTTTAAAAATGACTTTTTTTTAGATGTATGTGTGTCTGTGTGTGTATGCCACAAGTATATGGGTGTCTGTGAAGGCCATAGAGGAGGCTGAATTCCCTAAAGATGGAGTTGCAGCAGTGATGAGTGACTGGACACGGGTGTTGGGAGCGGAACTTGGTCCTCTGCAAGTTCAGCAAATACTTTTCACCCTTGGCTCATCTCTCCAGCCCAACCACTATTTCTAGAATTATAGTTTCTGATAGGAAACCTGATATTTAGGGGAAAATATTCTACTACTGTATATTTATTTTCTGCTTGCCGAGTTTTTGATATCTTAATAATTCCAATAGTTCTTAGGTGACACTGTGGTTTGTGTAGTTTTATATTAAATGTTTCCTCCTTTCTGTTTTTGAAATTTTATTGTTTTATAATTTCTTTACTTGTATTTAGGTACATTGGTATTTTGCCTGAATGTATGTCTGTGTGAGGGTGTTGGGTTCCCTGGAACTGGAATTACAGATGGTTGTGAGCTGCCATGTGGGTACTGGGAATTGAACCCTGGGTCCTCTGGAAGAACAGTTAGTATTCTTAACGGTTGAGCCATCTCTCCAGCCCTGAAATTTTATTTTTATTGTTACTAAAACAGGAATAAATTTTAAACAGGACAAAGATGCAGTGATTTTCAAGTATATGGATAAGTCTGAGTGTAAATTTATATTCTTTCTAAATTCATCCTTTATGAATTCCAAATGTTCAATCAAAATATTTGATTGAGAAATTCAATTTCCATCAAGAGACATTCTGGACAAGCACCTCGATTATAAAAAGGCAAGATTTGCCCAGCGATCTTGTTTGCTTTCAATTTCCAGGAGGATCTATATATGTTTTTCTTTGGGTTCACCTTGTTATTTGGCTTCTCTAGGCTTGTGAACTATAGGCTCAATGTCCTTTGTTTATGACTAGAGTCCACTAATGAGTGAGTACATACCATATTCATCTTTTTGGGTCTGGGTAATCTCACTCAGGATAGTGTTTTCTCTTTCCATCCATTTGCATGCAAAATTCAAGATGTCATTGTTTTTTTTTGTTTTTTTTTGTTTTTTTTTTAACCGCTGAGTAGTACTCTAATGTGTATATATTCCACACTTTGGTAGGGGTGGGAGGGGGGATGGGGGAAGGGGAGAGGGGGAAAGAGAAGGGAGAAGGTGAAAGACTAGGGAGAGCTTCGGGGAGTGGGAGGGTGGAGATGGAGGAAGGGCGGATATAGGAGCAGGGAAGATATCTACATTAAGGGAGCCATTTTAGGGTTGGCAAGAGACTTGGCTCTAGAGGGGATTCCAGGAGTCCACGGGGATGTCCCCAGCTAGGTCCTTGGGCAGCAGAGGAGAGAGTGCCTGAACTGGCCTTGCCCCACTTCACACTGATGATTATCTCGAATATCACCATAGAATCTTCGTCTGGCGACTGATGGAGATAGAGACAGAGACCCTAATCAGAGGAACGGGCTGAGCTCCCAAGGTCCAGTTGAAGAGCAGAGGAGGGAGAAGATGAGCAAGGAAGTCAGGACCACGAGGGGTTGGTCCACCCACTGAGACAGTGTGACTGATCTAATGGGAGCTCATCAAATCCAGCTGGACCGGGTCCGAATGAGCATGTGATCAAACCGGACTCTCTGAATGTGCTGACAGTGGGGGCTGACTGAGAAACCATTGATAAAGGCACTGGGACTTGTTTCTACTGCATGTACTGGCTTTTTGGGACCTAGTCTATATGGATGCACAGCTTCCTAGGCCTGGATGTAGGGGGGAGGGCCTTGGAGTTCCCACAGGGAGGGGGAGGAAGGAGGGTGAGTGTGGGAGCTGGAAGGGAATGGGAGGAGGGGAGGAAGTGTAAATTTTTGAATGGAAAAAACAAACAAATAAATAAATAGGCAAGATTGGTTTTGTTTTTAGCATACCATTATACAGAAATGACAAAATGATTTTATGTCGAGACAATGCAACTAAATACTAACACATACTCATACAAACTTTGAAAATGTTTCTTAAAAAATAGAAAATCAGAAGTAGAAATTATTTTCATATATTAAAAAGGTATAAAAACTTTTCTAAACCTGAGTTGTCATTAGTTGATAGTCTCTCTCCGTGTTCTACTTTTAGAAATAAATTGCCAACAAAACACATAATTCCAATTTATACATGCCAAATCCAAAATAGGATGAAACCTTAAGATTTTTTATAAATTGGCCGTTTCTTCCCTTCTAATATTCATGCTTCCTTATCTTTATTTTTCTTTGTTTGACCATGACTTCTTTGAGAGCCTCCTCGTTTTTCTCCTTTGTTTTATCCCTTAACGGAACATACATCAT